CAACAAGGGGACGCGGCTGGCGGCCACGGCCAAGGTGTCGCGCGCCATCAGCGTCACGGCCATGGCGGTCACCAACCTGAGCCCGCCCGCCGACCCCCTGCACCCCCTGGGCGACACGCAGTTCGCCATCGCCGTGGCGGGCAACGACTCGTCCCTGTCGCTGTACACGCTCGAGCACAAGATGGCGGACGACCTCACGCTCCTGGCGGACCTGCACCCCACGCGCACCATCAAGGAGACGCACCACGGCGGCAACATCACCGCCCTGGCCTTCTCCACCTTCTCCACGCCCAAGACGCACCTGCGCCCGCAGTACATCAAGCTGGCCAGCACCTCGCTGCAGAGGTCGGTGGCCGTGCACAGCATTCCGCTGCGCAGACTTGCCGATCCTCATCGTCACCACGACCGCCCACGTCTGTCGTCATCCCCGGACAAGAAGGGGCCCCAGCAGCAGCAGCAGCAGCAGCAGCAGCAGCAGCAAGTGCGCTACGTCGTGGCACTCAAGTCAAAGGGTCCGTCGTCCATACGTCTGATCCTGGTCATGGCTGCCGTGGCGCTCATCCTCGCCGCGCTGGGACAGGCGACGCTGGAGATGCTGGGGAAGAGCGAACCGGTCGTCCACGTACACAGGGTCCTGCCATCGTGGTACAAGGTCCCCGGGGCCAAGGTGGCCAACGGTAGCATCGCCGAGGATGACTTTGCGGCCAAGCTGCTCGGTGACGGGGTGACGGGTGGTGAGGGCAGGGCCGTCGTCGTCGCCCTCAAGACACGGAAGAAGGATGAGCAGGATGGTGAGCGGGATGGCGGTGACGATATCAGGGTGGACGTCCATCAGCCAGAGGTTCATGGACTGACCAGGTCGTGGGGTGATCTGGATGAGGAGCAGAGGGAACGGTGGCGGGTGGCATTGAGCGAGGCGGGGCTGTGGAGGAGGGATATGGGTGAGGGCGTGCTTGGGAGTATCATGTTTGGGGTGGAAGAGTCGGAAGACGATTCAGAGGGCAGGACCGATGTCAAGGATGAGCTCTGATGTGTTTTTGTCTTTGGCTTTAGTTTTTGGTTACGTTCCTTCTCTCTTTCTTTTCTTCTCTTCTCTTGGTGGGTTGTCGGTCTTGTTCTGGTCGGTGTATACGATTACGGTTATATATATCATGGTACTTGGTAGTAGTAGATGCATGTACGGGTTTCACCTTGTAGAGTTGTGTATGTTTCTCCCCCCCCTTTTTTTTTTTCCTTGCGATTTCGAAGCAAGCTCCTTTGTTCTGTTTTGTTCGTACGTGTAGGTGGTAAAGGTGTAGGGTAGTAATATGTCGCATGGTGTATGTATATAATGTAATGTACATGATGTACATACGACACACAACATGTGGGTTCTGCGTTCTGCACCTGATGCATAGGTGTGACGGAGTGTGTCGTCGTTGTGAAACAGGGGAAGAGGCTGCTCTGGTTCTTGTGATGCTCGCATCGGTCGTTTCTGTCACAGTACAGGTATATACGAGTGTATATATGAGTACATGCAGTGGTCTTGTATTTTTTATTTTGTTATTTTTTATTTTTAAAAAAAACCCCTCCCCCCCCCCCCCCCCCCCCCCCCCCCCAAAAAAAAAAAAAAAAAACTAAAAAAAAACTGGAGTATTGACATCAGAGCATCGCTCGTGGTGATGCATGATCAGTACAATCTATACATGTTGATTGAGAGTAATCGCTAATACTAGTATTCACCTACTAACCTGAAAAAAAAAAAGCGGTGCAGCACTGTTACATTACGTGCACGGAGTACAATGAGGATGGTAGACTTCAATACGTGCAGTATAGTATCCGTGTACGAGTGGTATTGATACTGAGCAGGAACATTCATGATGGTCTGGCTTACCTGGATAGGTTATTCATGATGATACTAGGTAGGTATCGACAGTTAAGGAGTACATATATATATATACGCTGTTACGTGTACATGTACTCCGTAATAATAGCCTCTAAAGTGCCTGTAGCCTGTAAGTAGGGGAACGCGGGTATAATTGGGGAAAGGTCGGGGAGTCCGGGACCTGGCAGTGGGAGATCAGTGGGTAGGGTAGGATGGAACGTTCCGGTGGGAGTTGGGGGCGGGGGGACCTTCTCTCTCTCTCTCTCTCACTAGCAGAGCAGAGAGAGGGAGAGAGAGGGTGGGAAGTCTAGAGAGGAAAGAGAGATGATGATTGCACGTATGTATTGATGGCGATCCGGGGGAGGAGGTCTGGTTGTTTGGAGTTCAATGAATTCTGTTGCGCTTCGTACTTGGGGGGGGGGGGGGGGGAGGTCAGTAAGTTGTGGATGATTGGGATGGATGGTAAACTGCTTGGGAAGGGGATACATCTCGAGAGGATAAAAGAAATGGTGGTGGTTTTGGGGGGGGGAGGAGGAGGGTCATTCGCCTCGCCTCGCCCTGCCTAGCCAGCTGACGACGAGCTTCAGCTTGTGCGCGAGTGTAAGTATACATATCGTGTATATACGTATCTACTCCTTATATAGCGGGTGCTTTGATTTATCTATTTATCGGGGAGGAAGAGGGGGGAGAGGGGGGGGGGGGGGGGGGTGCCTCGAACGCGTTCAAAAACTCTGTTCTGTCCTCACTCGTTCTGTTCTCACCCGTCATCTTCCTTTGTTTCATCCTGTCCTCTTAATCTTCTTCTTCTCTTCATCCTTCCATCCTCCTCCTCCTCCTCCTCCTTCTTCGTCCATGTCTGTGGGATCCTGCGATTGCCCATGGCATGGGTGGCACGGGGGTCAACTACCGATCAGAGGAGCCCTAGATGACGCGACAAGATGAGGCGGGATTTTCGGGTGGGCTGTGGCTTGGGTGGCACCGGGATTGCATGGATTCGGCGGGTGGTATTAGTGCCAGCTAGACTGTACGGAGTAACAGGCTAGTACGAGTGCTATTGCTACGCATGCATGTACGGATGGTAGCTCAGTACTGCTACTATACAGATCACGGTACCGTAATATATATCAGTGGTGTTGGCCGTAGCAATAAGTGCAATACGGAGTACGGAGCGTACATGTCACTGCTGTTGCTGCCGTACGGAGCGCTGTAGTCGGCGTGCAGGTACCTGTACACGCAGCGGTAGGGCCTGGACGTACATGAGCCCAGGTGGACCGGCAATGGGAGGAGAGGAAGGAGAAGAGACGGGTGTGCTCTCCTCCTCCTTCTCCTTCCCTTCTTCCTTCTTTCTACGGCAGGAACAATCCATCATACGGTTCCAAATCTGCAGTCGCAGAACATCCGAATCTGCAGTCCTAGGACATTCGACAGTTCCGGTACACAGCCTGCACAGCTGTGCATCTAGTATTGCAGTATTACTCGTATACCACCCAGCACATGGTGTACTCCGCATGCCGTACAGTCCGTCTTCTTCTCTCTCTTCTTTTTTTCTTTTTTCGTACTTGCCCGGATGGCAAAAGAGCTGCCAGCCCTGGACCCACTCTTACAGTCCCTTGCTGCCTTGCCACAATCCACTTTTTTGGAGAAGGATGGGCATGACCCGAGCACTCGTATGGGTGGAAGCAGTATCAGGGCACGGATGAGATATCACCGTCTCCTCAGCAAAGTCTCTGACGGAGATGGGCGAGAGAGCGTGTACGGGTAGAGGATGCGGAGGATGGGAGAACGGAGAACGGAGAACAGAGAGCAGAGAGAACTGCTCCAGGCACACACAGACGGTGTACCGCTGCCCAACGCCTCTCCTCTCTGACAGCCACTCGCGTCTCCACAATATTCGTCGAGGGCTGAGTACGTACTCGTCCGCTGGTGCCTTGTCGCAACTCGATCCCGCCTTTTCTCCCTCTCCCTCTCTCCCTCTCTCTCTCTCTCTCTCCATCAGCAAGAGATGGAGAGATCCTGCCATGGAGGGTGGAAGATGTACATGTATACACGTAGTATGATGTATACTGCATGCATACGAACCATGCCCCGAGTGCGAGATACCACTAAGAAGAGTCACTCCAACGTGGCACCGACACCTATCGAGGCTGCTACCGGCGCCTACCTGTCTCCGTACCTGTACGAGTGTACGCTGCCGACCACCGCCGTCAGCTGGCATCTGGCATCTGGCATCTCGTGCCTAGGAGACAGCGACCAATCATACGAGGGGTAGCTGGTCAATGGGAATGATCCTTGCCCGAGGTGCATTGCAGAGATGCGGGCAGGCCAGCATCATGTACGGGTACTCGTACGCTGTAGGGCACGGCGATACCGAGTGCTGTCGTATCAGCCGCGAGCATTGAATCGATCTCTAGGAGGACAGGGCCGTGTGCATATCTCGCTCGTGCGGTTCTATCCTCATGGTCGACTGCCAACCTTGGGTGGTGGTGACGGATCAGGTCATCAATGTACGGACGGGTACGGTGATGCTGCTCCCTGAGCAGCGTCTCAAGCGGGTGGTGATGGCGATGCCCGTGATGCGATGCCCGGCACCGCTCCGCAGTACTCTGCTGCTGGCTCCGACGACGGGCCATCTCCTCTACAGCGAACCGTACAGCAGTGAAGCGACCGCGACGGTTGGGACATCACCACGCGAGAGCGGATATGCATCTCCGAAGCCTCGACAGCTTCGAGACAGCCCAGCAGAGCAGCACTGCCATCATCACCACTCACCATGAGAGAGAGAGAGAGAGAGAAAACTGCAAATGTAGATGTGTGTAGAGCATCCTGTAGAGCATCCTGTAGAGCATCTTGCAGAGCATCCTGTAGAGCATCCAATATACCTTGTCTCACGTTTCTGGACTGTCCCTGTACCGATACTTTATCTGTTAGTGGCAATACCGTACTACTCTAGTCTAGCGCAGGTATCCACCCAACCAGCCATCAGCAAGCCCCCGGAACGCACGCACACCAAACTATCCATGACCATCATCCATATCCATGGGGCCCATCACTACCGTACCGCACACGAGGCCAGTCCCGCCCCTGCAACCCTGCAACCTCGATACGGCCCCCCCCCCTCCTCTCTCTCTCTCTCTCT